GGTATTTTTCTTAGTATTTGTTGGCCATTATTTTTCGTCCAGAATCCCCCTGTAGGGGGACAGGCCCGACTTAAGACTACCTGGGATGGCCTGTTGAGGCAAACTGGGAAGACCAGGGGGGGAAGGCCTGCGCGCAACCCGCAGCCGTACCAGACATCGCACCACTGTGAAGTCGGGCCTGTCCCCCTACAGGGGGATTTTGCACGAAACATAAAAGATGGCCAACAAATACTTAAAGAAGATGCCAGAAGGAGGAGGAGGAGGAGGAGGAGGAGGAGGAGGAGGAGGAGGAGGAGGAGGAGGAGGAGGAGGAGCTGGTTCCAGGTCCGCACGACCGCCGAGCATCTTTTGGAGATTTGTTGACCATCTTTTTATTGTGCGTAGTCTCTGGGAGGTCCACGCGGCGCTCTCGGATCGGCGCTGGGCCCCCGGCGGCGGAGGCGCCACTCAGGGGGGGCTCTGGGCATATCGAGAAAGGCCCGCGCGGACACTCGGCAGTTCACGTTCGCCTCTCTGTTCTTCCTCGAAGCGCAAAGGGGGGAAAAGCAGAACGAGAGCGGGGGGAGGGGGTCACGGACGCGGAGGGAGACTGCGGCCAGAACGGCACCCGGGGGGGATGGGCAAGGGGGGGGGGAGCCAGAAGCGGACTGGGGCCAGGGCAGGAAGGGGTGGCCAGCGGGAGGGGGAGAAGAGGATGATGATGCTGCTGCTGCTGCTGCTGCTGATGATGATGATGATGATGATGATGATGATGCTGATGATGATGGTGTTGATGCTGATGATGATGCTGATGCTGCTGATGCTGATGCTGATGATGCTGCTGCTGCTGATGATGATGATGATGATGGAGTAGGAGGAGGAGAAGGAGGCGGAGGAGAAGGAGGGGGCCGATGATGGTGGGTGGAGAAAATAAAGAAGAGGAGGGAGGTAGCAAGAAGAGAGGAGGAGTGGAAAGAGAATGAGCAGGAGGAGGAGGAAGATGAGGAGGAGGAGGGAGGAGGAGGAGGAGGAGGAAGAGGAGGAGGAGGAGGATGAAGGATGGAGGAAAGGGAGCAGAGGCAGCAAGGAGAGTAGGAGCAGGAGATGCGGGAGGAGAATGAGGCGGGGGATGGGCGAGGAGGAGGAGGACAACGACGACGAGGGTAATGGAGTTGAGGGCCATCTCTCGCTCTCTCTCTCCCTCCCTCCGTCGCTCCCTCCCTCCATCCCTCTCCCTCCCTCTCTCTCTCTCTCTTTCCCTCTTTCTCCATATTGTTCAATATCTCTCTCTCTCTTTGTTTGTTCTCTCTCTCTCTCCATCTGTCTCACGAGCCCTCTCTCACTCTCCGGCGCCCGTCCGCTCTTTTTTTCCGAACCACCCTCGTCGCGCTGGCGCGTCTGAGCCTGCGCAGACGCCCGGCCTCCCCTTATGGGGGGTGCAAACCATCCGACGCCCTAAGCTCAGCACGCGGGGTCCCTGCTGTTCCTCCTCCTGCTCCTGCTTCTCCTCCGCCGCCTCCCCCTCCTCCCCTTGCTCCTCCCTCCCTCCCTCCAGTCCTCCTCCTCCTCCTCATCCTCCTCCTCCCTTCCTGCTGCCTATCCTCCCTCCCCCCCCATCCCGCTTCCTTGTGGATAACTCTTCCCCGTCGCACCCCAAGACGTGGCAGGGCGGGCTGGAGGCGCCCAGGGCCCCACACGACTCCGATACCGCATGGTTTTGTCTGACAGGGGTCGTGACCCCGCAACAAGCGCGCGGCGCTCGAATGTCGGCACGCGCAACAGAGAGCCCTGTGTGGTCTCCTTTGATGAGAAGGCCGACCAGCAGACATCCAGCTCTCGCCCCAGCTCGCACGAGCGCGCGCGCGAGGATATTGTTGACACTCTAGGGCTGGACGGCCGTTGGTGCTGCATACACGTTTTCAAGCACATCGATCCTGGCATCCTCACGAGCCCGAAAGCTTTTGGAACGATGTCGGCATGCGCGCGCGCGACGCCGCGCGCGCGTGGCCGGCTGCCTGCATGGGATTTTCGTGCCTTGGCGAGCGCGCAGGAGGCGGCAAGGCTCCGAGGGAGAGCGCCCCCGTGGAGACACTCTCCCCGAGGGGGTGCCCTTCCCCCCCCCCCCCAGAGCCACGCGCTCCTCCCCTCTTGGAGCCCCCCTGCCCGAGGCTCCCCCCCCCGCCTTCCCCCCCCCTCCTTTTGTTCCCGCCCCTGGGAAGCTCCCCTACCCCCTCCTCCTCCTCCTCCTCCTCCTCCTCCTCCTCCTCCTCCTCCTCCTCCTCCTCCTCCTCGCGCGCTCCGGGAACTCCCCCGCCCGCCTCGCCCTGTCCCAAAAGGGGGAGCCCCTCCCCCCCTGTCGCGCCCTGGAAGCCACCCCCCCACCCCCGGCCTCCCCCCCACCCCCTTCGCAAAAGGAAGGGGGCGGGGGCCTCAGCTGCCCCCCCCTTTGAACCCGACCTGCCAGAAGCGCCCCCCCCCATCTCCTGCCCCCCCACGGCGACGAGACGCTCCAGGAGGGCCAAGATGTCAACATCCCAAACAGCAACGACGTGCTCATCCTTCTCCTCCTCCTGCGACCCCCCCTCCCAGCGACACAAGAACACTCAACGACACCTCTGCTGATGGTGGTTACATCTCGCCTGCGGCAGTTACGCGTGGCAGAGGTTGGAAGGACAACTTATCATCCATGGGACGGCTTCCAAATGAACGCAGACACCACGGTATACCGTCGAGTTTTGCGACTCTCGAGGGTCCCGCAATCGCGAATCCGTGCGCTTCGCCTCCCTTCGTGTTCGACCCGTCCGCTCGCCCTGCCTCGCCCAGCCCGCGCGGTGGCGCGCGGCGCCATCCCGAGAGCTTTGGCCCAAGACGAGCCGCGCCCGCGCAGGGAGAGGGCGGGGCAGGGGGGCGCCAACGGAGGGGCCAGCCGCGGTCGGGGCTGAACGCCCGCGGCAGGGTCGCCGCCACGTCAGCACGACGCGGCCCTCCGTGCAGCACGGGGAGCGCGGCGAAGATGTGTGCCTCCTCCTCCTCCTCCTCCTCATCCTCCTCCTCATCCTCCTCCTCCTCCTCCTCCTCTCCTCCTCCTCCTCCTCCTCCTCCGCTCCTCTTCTCCTCCTCATCTCATCTCATCATCATCACCATCATCATCATCATCATCAGCAGAGAGCATCAGCACACTCAGAGCATCATCATCATATCAGATCACACGCAATCAGCATCAGCATCGCATCATCATCTTCATCAGCAGCATCAATCATCATCATCATCATCATCATCATCATCATCATCATCATCATCATCCTCA